AAAAAATTCTCTAAAAATTTGAGCTCTTAATATTAACTTTTAGATAGTCCGCACTCAAACTTAAGTTTTAAAATTTTTTTTTTATTTTTTTATTTTTTATTAATTTATTTTGATAAAATTTGGAAGGTAAATCAATACTGAGGAGTATTACGGTCACAAACACCTAAAATCAGACAAAAGGATCTTCAAAAATATCGAAACCAATATTTTTTAGCAATTTTTGAATTTTTGAAAAAAATCGATGATTTTTGTATTTTTATAAATAACTTTTTTATCTATTAATATTTTCATTAATTCTTGTCAAAATTACATTCCTAACATGAAAACAAATCGATTAATGTATGGGGCATTCCAGGCAAATCGGAAATTATTTTGCTTTTGCATCTTAAATTTTTTTTTAACATTTTTTTCTTTTAGTACTTTTTGAAATGAGCTACCTTGATTGATTTCAAATTTTTTCATAAAGCGGTTCAGGATACAGATTTTTGAAAAATAACGTTTTTTACGTAATTTTTTTTTTAAATGCTTATAACTCGGTCAAAAATTAATCAAATTGTTGGACTTTTTTATAATAGAAATTAAAAAAAAAATTTTAAATAATTTACAATAAGATTTAAAAATTCTTAAAATAAAATTTCATTTTTAACAATATATGTATCCATCAATTTTTTCAAAATTTTTTGTAAGAAACTAGCGCTAAATTAACAATTTTTAAGCCTTGTCCGATCGTGGTCAAACGATGGGATCTATTTATGTTGAAATTTTTAATTTTTATATACGCAGTGGTGGCCAAATGACTAACTTGCCATTTGACAAAATCACACAAATTCTTCACAGCAAATGTGTTTTTAGGCTGAGTCTCTCCAAACTTAACCTTCTTTCTGTGTAAAATTGAGATTTGGTCAAATGACAAGTTTGGCCTACCGTTTTCATTGTGTATATAAACATTAAAAATTTCAAATTAAATAGATCCTATCGTTTTCCCACGATCAGACAAGGCTTAAAAATTGTTAATTTACAGCTAGTTTCTTACAAAATATTTTTAAAAAAATTGATTGATACATACATTGTTAAAAATGAAATTTTATTTTAAAAATTATAAAATCTTATCGTAAATTAGGTATTTAAAAAAAAATTTTTAATATTTTTATTGAAAACTACGCGTGAAAACAAAACTTTTCATTATAAAAAAGTCCAATTTGATCAATTTTTGACCGAGTTATAAGCATTTAAAAAAAATTTACGTTAAGGTATTAGTCGCGTAAAATGGTTTTCGTCAGAATTTTTTCAAATTTTGCATACTTATTCCTGGAGTATTTATCTACAGAATGAGACCAATTTCATTAATTTTGACCGTTTCAAAGCTTCAAAAAATGAATTCAAAGTTCATACATTTTGCATGGAGGGAGCACCCTATGCATGTATTGATTTTGTTAAATAATTATTTATATGATAACTAATCGTCAGATTTTAAAATAAAAGTACCAAAGTATTCAATTAGATGAAACAAATAAATAAAAAAAACATGACATTTTTTGACCGCGCCAAACTATAAATAGTTATTAATAGTTATTAATAGTTATTAATAGTTATTAATAGTTATTAATAGTTATTAATAGTTATTAATAGTTATTAATAGTTATTAATTGTTATTTTTTTAACTTTCTGTCAATAGACAGAAAGTTAAAAAAATAACTAAATTATTTGAATTTTCATACGAACGAATAGAGTAGGGAGTTAAACTATCTCTCTCACTCTCACTGCCCCACTCTAGTAAGCGGCCCGGTAAACTTTTGACCAGAGCCAACTGCGTGACTAATACCTTAAAAACGTCATTTTTCAAAAATCTGTATCTTCTGAACCGCTTTATGAAAAAAATTTGAAAAAAATCAAGGTAGCTCATTTCAAAGAGTACTAAAAGAAAAAAAATGTTAAAAAACAAATTTAAGATGCAAAAGCAAAATAATTTCCGATTTGGCCTGGAATGCCCCATACATTAATTGATTTGTTTTCATGTCAGGAATGTAATTTTGACAAGAATTAATGAAAATATTAATAGATAAAAAAGTTATTTAAAAAAATACAAAAATCGATTTTTTTCAAAAATTAAAAAATTGCTAAAAAATATTTGTTTCGATATTTTTAAAGATCCTTTTGTCTAATTTTAGGTGTTCGTGACCGTAATACACCTCAGTATTGATTCACCTTCCAAATTTTATCAAAATAAATTAATAAAAAAAAAAAAAAAAAATTTTTAACTTAAGTTTGAGTGCGGACTATCTAAAAGTTAATATTAAGAGCTCAAATTTTTAGGGAATTTTTTTCTATTAATTTGGAAGCATTTAAGCCCCTGGGAGCAAGAAAATTCGAAAAAAACCTTTTTAAGGACCACCCTAATATATATATTAAAAAAGCAATTTATATATGATTACCAATGTCCTATACAATTAATAGTTTACGTCAGAGACGAGGGAAACTAACCTTTTGCATGTGTTTATAGTTTCTCTTTATTAAAAACTAGTTGAAATGAAACAACTTTCTATAAGAATTTTATTTTCGCACAGTTTTTAATAATAATAAAATATAACATTTTATAATCTAGGAAAATGTTACAATACATTTATATATTCTGTAACATATTATATAATTTATAGTTATGTAAACATGTTAATATAACATAATATAAAATATAACACAACCCCAAAAAAGTATCCTGCGCAAAAGATCACAGTACCATAACCCCATGTCAGAACGACTTATTTTTCGTTGCATGTCAATGTATGATTTTGCAACGTTTTTGTTTATGTATACTACGAATTTCGTATAAAATATTTCCATAAATTCTTTAACAAATCCTTTCTTTTCCCTATCCGTTAAAATGATATATTCGCATTTAAGTATTTTGCTACTTTTGCGAAGAGCAGTGCTTAAGGCAGAAGCTGTGCTTGGTGATCCATATTTTTTATTCCATTCACTAAACTGTGTGACAACATTTACTGCTTCTAACACTTTATTGAACATTGTCGTTGAACGAATCATGTTATCCTGCTGTTGTTTTTTTTTGTTTATTGGAAGAAAATTGCCGAAAAGTATAATGATTCTATCGTACCTGATGATATTAGAAATTTCGTCATTGTTTCTTAAAATAGGAAGTATTTCGTGCCACATTTTATAAGTAGCGTCATGATGAACACGGCCGATTTTGTGTGCTGCGTTTTGCAATATAGATTTCGTACTGGATAAACTTGATTCACTACACATCGCATGATGATGACAAATATTATTATTCGTATAAAAGCCATAACATTTTGGGCAATTGATTATCTCTTCAGCTGCTTTCTCTCGACCAACCTGTGATCTTCGCTTGTGTTATGTAAAAAGTCTCCTTTCTTTCTGATAACACTTAATGCTTTTTTTCTTTCATTACTTTTCTTTTTTAAGGACATAAATTTATAATCATTTACTAATTCTTTTTCAACGTAGAGTGTTTTCAGGACCTTAATTTTTGTCAAATAAAATTGTTTATATTGTGGCCTTGGGTCCAAAAGATTTGAGAAAGTTGTTAAAAATCAGCAATTATTACTTTATTTCATCGAATGCATTTTCACTGTGAACACAGCTCATCAGGACTACAGAAAAAATATAAAAAAGTTGAGTAAATAGAAAATATGAAATCAATAGCAACATTGTGTGTGGAATAGACCTACCACATTGTTCAATGATACAAATTTATAAAACTTTTAAAAAATTTAAATTCGAAAAGTTTTTTAAAGGCCAACATAACCTCAAAGTCGAGACCTGTCAAAAAATGGAATAAAATTTTTTCGGATTTACTGGATTCTTGTTTGAACAAGATCCATCGAGACTTCCTTCATTTTATAATAAATAAAAATCCAACAGAACATTCCAAATTGATAAATAAACATAAAAATAATAAACAAAATAAATAACACATGTGCTCATCATTACAAAGGACAGTGATACAATTTCAAAAAACATAAAATATACAATAGTAAAGTCTATGACACAACACAAACTGTAGAAGAAAAAATATATAAAGATTGATTCACAGTGACAGAAATTCCTTCAAATAATATGAAGGTTATTTCATAGATGTATAGGTATGCACCGGAATTATTGTCCTTTAGTGTTCGAAATTCTATCACATGTTCCAATAATATCAAAATACATTATTGATAGATTGTCAATATCAGTTCGGAAATTTACGGAATTTGAGTCCTTTGCGATGTAATACATTTCTAAAAAGTTTCTGTTTCTATAAGAACCTTCGACATCTAAGATTTTAACGCTGTTTTGGTCGAAGCAAAATGTATGTTTTAAATTCGTAGAGTGTTTACATAACGCTGTGTTGGTCTTTTTGCGTAGTTGTGAATGTTTATGAGCAGAAACTCTTTTTCTTAGTTCTTGTATTGTCTGGCCAATATATATGCCGTTACAATCATTACAACTTAATTTATATATAACGTTGGTCTTCTCGAATTTTGGAATTCTGTCCTTAGGGGATGGAAGTAAATTGTTATGAAGTTTCATAAGGGTTGAAAAGACTATTGAGATATTTAATTTTTTACATAGGTTTATGGTTGGTTTGAGAATATCAGGCACATATGGAATTACTATAGTGCGTGAAGGTTCGATCAATTTTCTGTCAAAATTTATAACGTTATTATTATTATTTTTCAAAGTCAAAAATTGTATTCTTTGATCGATATTCTTTTTTATGAAATTATAAGGGTAGTTGTTTTGTTTTAATTTTTCAAAAATAAAATTTAAATTTTCAGCATGGAAATGTGGTTCAGATAGTAAAATAGTTTTATCCACCAAAGAAAATATGATTCCCTTTTTAATATTAATATGATGGTTGGACCAAAAATTTAAATATCTACCCGAGGAATATGGTTTTTGGTACCAATTTGTCTCAATAAAACCTTTTTTAAAAATCAATTTTAAGTCTAAGTAGAATAAAAGATAGAACAAAAAAAAAAAAAAAAATAGTACAGAATTAATTAATAAAATCAAACATATGAATGTTCCAGACACACATACCATCATATCTTTGGACGCTGTTGCCATGTTTTCGAATATAGATCCTACTTTGGTCCTTAAATTGCTTGAGGTTAGGTGGAATGTGATTAAAGAGCACACAGATCTGAATTTTAATCAATTTTATGATGGAGTCAGTCTGTGTGTGAATAATGCATATTTTCAGTATGATCACGAGTATTATAGACAAAAGTTCGGCACTCCAATGGGTTCTCCGATTTCATCATTCTTAGCAGAATTGGTGATGCAACATATTGAAGAGGAGATTTTAAATGACAAATCCTTAGATGTCATTTTCTATTTCAGATATGTTGATGATACCATTGTTTGTGTCAGGGAGGGACATATTCGGAGACTGGTAGATGCTTTTAACGAGAAGGGTGGTTCCTTAAAATTTACAGTAGAGTATTCAAAAAATAAAGAAATAAATTTTTTAGACTTAAAATTGATTTTTAAAAAAGGTTTTATTGAGACTTTGAAAAATAATAATAATAACGTTATAAATTTTGACAGAAAATTGATCGAACCTTCACGCACTATAGTAATTCCATATGTGCCTGATATTCTCAAATCAACCATAAACCTATGTAAAAAATTAAATATCTCAATAGTCTTTTCAACCCTTATGAAACTTCATAACAATTTACTTCCATCCCCTAAGGACAGAATTCCAAAATTCGAGAAGACCAACGTTATATATAAATTAAGTTGTAATGATTGTAACGGCATATATATTGGCCAGACAATACAAGAACTAAGAAAAAGAGTTTCTGCTCATAAACATTCACAACTACGCAAAAAGACCAACACAGCGTTATGTAAACACTCTACGAATTTAAAACATACATTTTGCTTCGACCAAAACAGCGTTAAAATCTTAGATGTCGAAGGTTCTTATAGAAACAGAAACTTTTTAGAAATGTATTACATCGCAAAGGACTCAAATTCCGTAAATTTCCGAACTGATATTGACAATCTATCAATAATGTATTTTGATATTATTGGAACATGTGATAGAATTTCGAACACTAAAGGACAATAATTCCGGTGCATACCTATACATCTATGAAATAACCTTCATATTATTTGAAGGAATTTCTGTCACTGTGAATCAATCTTTATATATTTTTTCTTCTACAGTTTGTGTTGTGTCATAGACTTTACTATTGTATATTTTATGTTTTTTGAAATTGTATCACTGTCCTTTGTAATGATGAGCACATGTGTTATTTATTTTGTTTATTATTTTTATGTTTATTTATCAATTTGGAATGTTCTGTTGGATTTTTATTTATTATAAAATGAAGGAAGTCTCGATGGATCTTGTTCAAACAAGAATCCAGTAAATCCGAAAAAATTTTATTCCATTTTTTGACAGGTCTCGACTTTGAGGTTATGTTGGCCTTTAAAAAACTTTTCGAATTTAAATTTTTTAAAAGTTTTATAAATTTGTATCATTGAACAATGTGGTAGGTCTATTCCACACACAATGTTGCTATTGATTTCATATTTTCTATTTACTCAACTTTTTTATATTTTTTCTGTAGTCCTGATGAGCTGTGTTCACAGTGAAAATGCATTCGATGAAATAAAGTAATAATTGCTGATTTTTAACAACTTTCTCAAATCTTTTGGACCCAAGGCCACAATATAAACAATTTTACTAATTCTTTTTCAGAATAATCAAGCATAGGTGGGTAATCTTTATCACAGAGATCATCTTCACTATTATTCTTATTCTACGGAATTTCAATTACCTCCTCCAATTCTTTCCAAGAACTATTTTTGAAAATTCGAGATGTTAACTGCTCTAGTTGAATTAAGATCATTTTTAGTACATACAACCTTATCTTCTTCTTCAAATCGACATTCTAATAAAGTGTCGACAATTATAATTTTACGACTCTCAATGTCTATAAGTTTGTCAGAATTATTTACTTCTCAATATTGTGATTATTGACTTTATTATTAAGTGAGGTTTGAATTTAAATTTCAGACTCGACGAAAAGATTACAATCCATTTATAAGTGTTTTTTTTCTGTTCTGACTAGTGAGAAGAAATTTCGAGTTGGTCTTTTAATTGCCATTTGTCGTCATTGTTGCTAAAAGTTTCCAATTAATAATCAGGTACGGTGATGGTTATACTGTTTTGCGAAACTACATCGAATTTACTGTCATGAGAAGAGGGTTTTTTTTATTTGCATGATTAACAAGCCCACGGTTAAAACCATCAAAGGGCAATACAGAAAAAAAATTACAAAAGTTTTAAGGTTACGTAAGTGTAGTAAGAACTAAAGAAAAACAAAATTTCGTAATTTACTTAAAAAAAATAGAGAACAAATAAAATTTTATAATTTTTTATGTGTTGGCATGATTTTCTGAGGTTTCAATTACATATGTACAATGGTGGGGATTCCTTTTATGTGGCGTATGTTGGTGTTTCCTTTGCTGATCCGTTCGTCGAAAGTCTATCTCACTTGTTTGTATGTTTGTTGTTGTAGATATGTTTGCAAAATTAACTTTTGTAAATTCGAACTGCTCTAATATGTGAGTGTCTGTTTCTTCTGATTTATCGTTTGAATGATTCTCGAGATCGAATTTGATTAAAATTTTTTCCTCCTTTTCAGGTGATATAGGAACTATACTTTCTTGGAAACTGGCTTGTTTAACATGATTAATTACCAATCTTTATTAATAAATTTAACCTCTTCTGATTTGTGTAGAGAAATATTCACTAATTCGTTTTTAAGTTGACTGACACTTCTTATTAAAAAGGTTTTCTTCACATGAAGGAATCACAACCGATATAGATTTATGCGAAAAGAATTCCTCTTTAAATTGATTCTTATTTATATCGAAGATTAAATCATTTTTTTCAATTTTAGGTACTACAGAGGATTCACTGACCTTTCCAATATGATTACTGCATTTCTTAGAGAAATTGACGAATTCATTGAGTCTAAAAGCAACATGGAAGAATTATTATTAAAGGAGTAATACATATCTTTTCGCAAAAATCTATTTCATTATAAGAATGTTCAATTAATAATGCATGCGGTAATGGATCAACATTTTACAGTCTACCTGTCATATATCGTTTTCTAATATTTTTTTTAAATTTTTTATTTTTTTCTCGCAGACAAGATTTTTATACTTCAGGTAACTCACGCTTTTTATAAATATTTTCAACTTTGCTAAGAACTTTTTAATTCGAAAGTTCAAAAAAAATTTATTTACGGTAAGCAAAATATTTTTTTTTCCTTAGGGAATTTTGGGAAATCTGCCTACAGATACCTTGAATTCCGCAATCCAAGGTTATGTGGGGTTTATATAAAAAATAAATAAAAAGAAAATTGACCCACTAAAACCCGTAACCCTTCTTTTGAATCCCTTTACCCACCCTCGGAACTGGCGTAAGACTTTAGCCTTCGAGGGCAGCGCTCTAACTCTGTCGCTATTGCGACTTTGTTCTTTTTTTGCAGTTCTTCTGCGTCAATAGTTAAAATTTAAAACCATTTCAACGTCAAAGCCAAATTTACAGCACAACAATGAAGAAACAAATGTTAAAAAAGTGTAAAAAGTCAAAATATGATAAAATTGTAAATAGATGTAAAAAACAGAAACAAAAAAAGTAAACATATATATATATATATATATATATATATATATATATATATATGGGACGTTTCACGTTAAGTGTGCCACCCCGTTGGCCAAAATTGAGAGCTTCCTAAAAAATTGGTTATACCCAAAAGTTATTCATATATATAGGTACTTTCGAAAAATATGTGGCCTTTTGAAAAATCCAATATGGCGGCCCCAATATAACCTATAAATGTATCTAAATTAAAAAAAAGCGGCCTAAAAGTGCTAATAAAAAGGGATTGAATGAGGAAATCACCTATGAATTGGGGGTAAAATTAGCACAAGGATACATACTTTGTATTCTATAAGCAAAAACGTTAATTTGATATCGAATTTCAGAAAATAAATATGGCGGATCCAATATGGCGGACAGAAAAATTTTAAAATGCATCGGATTTGCTTAAAAGTTGTTACTCAGGGGTTTTTGGGGTCGCTGATGCCGAATCTGATGTTTATTTTTAGAAATTCAAAATGGCGGATCTAATATGGCGGACAAAAATTTTTTTAATTCATCAGATTTAATTGAAAGTTGTTTCTCGGGGGTTTTTGGGGTCGCTGATGCCGAATCTGATGTTTATTTTCAGAAATTTAAAATGGCGGATCCAATATGGCGGACAAAAATATAAATTTTTCAGCTTTTATTGGTACTACTTAGTATTAAATCAATGAATTAATTAACACATTAAGTTAAATTTGTTACAAATATTCTTCAAAATTGTTTAAACAAATATTTGTTATTTATTAACTTTTTAGTTTTTTCCATTGTACCTTGAGGGATGTAGTATTTATCTAATCTTGCAATTTATAAAGCTAATTATAATGACCGATAAAAGTTATAAATGTCAAATCGATATTTCAGCAACTGTTTAATAATCATATAATTAAACAATTAATTGTTAAATTTTTTCTAATTACACATAGAAAATGCGTATTTTCAAATCTACAATTTACTGAACAAATAATAATAAATAAGTAATATGAATGACAAATTACAGTTAAAAAAATATTTATTTGAATAATTATTGAGATAACCATTTCACGAAAATTCTTTATTCATTAAATAAATAAATTTTTCGAGGCGCACCTTAAAAAAATTAATAAATATCAATAATAACTTAATTTGATAATTATTAAAACAATTGGAGGATGAAGTAATTGATGTTTTTAAATTTTTCATTCCTCATAGAGGAAGTATCTTTATTTTTTATTATGTGTAAAGCCGAACACAAGAAAAACTTAGGAAAAAGCATTTTTTTAACGCATCATATAAAACTTTCTGAAAATCGACATCAGATTCAGTATCAGCGACCCCATAAACCCCTGAGTAACAACTTTGAACCAAATCTGATAAATTAAAAAAATTTTTGTCCGCCAAATTGGATCCGCTATTTTAAATTTCTGAAAATTAACATCAGTTTCGGCATCAGCGACCCCAAAACCCCCGAGAAACAACTTTCAATCAAATCTGATGAATTAAAAAAATTTTTGTCCGCCATATTGGATCCGCCATTTTGAATTTCTAAAAATAAACATCAGATTCGGCATCAGCGACCCCAAAAACCCCTGAGTAACAACTTTCAAGCAAATCCGATGCATTTTAAAATTTTTCTGTCCGCCATATTGGATCCGCCATATTTATTTTCTGAAATTCGATATCAAATTAACGTTTTTGCTTATAGAATACAAAGTATGTATCCTTGTGCTTATTTTACCCCCAATTCATAGGTGATTTCCTTATTCAATCCCTTTTTATTAGCACTTTTAGGCCGCTTTTTTTTAATTTAGATACATTTATAGGTTATATTGGAGCCGCCATATTGGATTTTTCAAAAGGCCACATATTTTTCGAAAGTACCTATATATATGAATAACTTTTGGGTATAACCAATTTTTTAGGAAGCTCTCAATTTTGGCCAACGGGGTGGCACACTTAACGTGAAACGTCCCATATATATATATATATATATATATATATATATATATATATATATATATATATATATATATATATATATATATATGTATAGGCTGTGCGCTGTCACCTCCGTGTAGTGTGTCCTACGTTCTCGCCTCCACTATTTCCCATGGAAATATTAAAATTTTTCTTGTATATATGTGTTAAGGAGGACCCATTAAACACGTTTTTCAAGAGAGGGGTAATGATTTTTTATTTTTTTTAAATATACATTTTGTAAGTATAACATGAACGATGAGACCTCCCTTGTATATTTGGAAGCGCGTTAATTTCTATACGTACTTACCTCCAGCGTTGTTGCCACAGGTATTAGGGAGGTGTGACGTATTTCTTATGCTTTATGTTGAGTTTAACACTAAGGCTATAAGATCTAGGTACTTTAGAATCACTAAGAATCTCAATTTATTTAACTTTTAAATGTATAACTTTTTTTATTTACAATTTAATAATTTAAAATTTTTGTATTTAATTGTTAATCATTTAGGTTTTTTAATAAATTACTTTAAATTCAGTTATTTATTTAAAGAATGTTGATAAATTATTTAATTTTTTGGATAGTTAATTAAAATTTGCTAAGAAGTTTTTGTGTTTACCAGTATTCATTTTTATAAAATATTTTGAATTGCTTTATATTATTAAATATTAAATAAATATTAAATATATTTTATTGGAAAAGTATTTTTTATTTACTGATAAAAAATTCAAGAGTTATTTTTAAAGTTTTTTTTCACTGAATACATTAATTATAATTTTTTACAAAATCGAATACTTATATCTAATTATTATTAATGAAATTTATATTCTTATTGATACTAATAAGTAGATGTTTTTTTATAAATTAATACTATTTGGATTCAATAAAAAATTACTCCTCAATTTATAAAATGTTAATCGTTATTGAAATTAAATGAAACTTTTTAACAAAGATAAAATATTGCGATAAAATAAAAATATTAAGATTATTTGTTAATTTTTCCAATTAAATTCTGAATCTTAGATCTTATTTGTGCTACAGTTCGAATACTGTTTGTTGCTGCGATAAATGCCTTCATATCCTTTGAAGACGGATAGTTTCCATTTTTAACAAATTTGTTGAAATGAATATTGATTGATTCCAACTCTTTTTTTGACCAACCTGCAAAAAATAAAGGTTTTACATTGGTACACTTTACATCTCC